TGTTAGGGCGAGTCATAACAGACCACATACCTTCTCTGTATGTGGTTAGGGAAAGAACGCAATTACCTTCATGGTATAAGGATAACAGATTGTCTACGAGGGAAAAATGAACGGTATTCCCTCCGGCAAGCTGTAGGTCCTACATAAATGTCCGGCGGGACATTAAAGAGGCGAATAGGGTACAGAATAAGTCTTCGTTGTGTGGGACTAACCCATCCACTGCAGGACATCCGTTTTCCCTGGCTGCATCCACTCAGTGGCCAGTAACAGTGCCCACCGGTTATGAAGCCAACAACGCATCCATTTCCAAAATACTACAGTGAGAACCACTGACTTAGTTAATGTCTAGAATCCTCAGATGTGCTTACTTTTACCTCCGTAAGGAGTCTTTCTATGGAGTCGTAGATAAGATTCTTGCTTTCCAAGCCCCCAGTTTTTAAAAGAGTGTGTGCCTGCCTTTGTTCATGTTTAGCATCTGCCCAACTTGTGGTTGTCCGCTTTCTGCATTAGAATGTAAGCTCCTTGAGGGCTGAGTCAACCCGTTAACCCGTTGTGTTCACTGTACCATACCTATACTTGGCTGTGTGTTTGACATGTGAATCCCTTGGATACATTGTGTTAACTAAAGTAAGCTCAGATGTTTACATCCAGCCCTTGATTTGTATTTCTTCTTCAAGTGTAATTCGAGACTATCAATAAAGAGAAACAATAACTTTGCCCTGCTGTCTGGATAGACTGTATTTATTTCTAGGTATCTCCAAAAAGGAAATCAGCGGCAGACACTAATTTATTCGGTGGGGGCTAGAGGATGTGTTTGCCCCTTCTGGATTTTCCATTCCAGGAGTTGATGACCAGAAGGCTGTCGGTGAGAAGCAGGGTGGTGGCGATGGCATAGCCCGTGGTCGGTCAGCCTATCTTGTCTCGGGGCTTGGAGAAGAGCAGGCTGGAAGCTGTGAATATGCCTTTCTTCCTTTGGCCCCAGGAGTGGGAACAGGGCCTGGCTGAAGCACAAAAGTTAAAAATACCCTATCAGTCCTTCCTTCAAAAGCCCTTCTCCGTGCATTCTTTTTGAATCACAGAGCTTCGGATGGAAAGAAAGAGGAAGAACCCTAGATGGCAGCATAACTTTGATTCAAGTGAAGGTAAAACCCATTGGATTTGGATCTCACATTTCCTACATCTGCTTTTTCCACACACACATCAGCCCCTTCTGGGCTTCGATTCCTTCCTTACTTACCCCGAGGCCATTCTGTACCTGACCACTCCTTCAATTAATAACTTTCGATCACCCAGAACCCTTGACTTTATGTCTCATCCGTTTGGCAAAGGATTCATCAAATTCATCAAATTCTCTTTCTATAAATGAGTACTTTCATTTTTATTTTTTTTTTTAACATTGAGTACTTTCAGAGAAAATTAGCAGTTTGGATTAATAGCACTGTGCATGCCTGGTACTCAAATTTGGCAAAGCCCCCTGCCTGCCCACTTGTCCTCCCTGTCCACATTGCCCCATCCCCACAAAACAGCTGTGTCAAACCTCCACCAAACCTCACCCGTTCTCCCTTAACACCACCACAGATGGCTATTGGATCTTTTCTACTTCATCTTAAGCCTACAAACTTGTCTTCTTATATACTCACCCTTACTTCTTTTCCTCTTGTCTAAATGGAAGAGGTATTTTTCCTGAGGTTCATTCTTCCAGCTTCCCGTCCTCTCCCAGTTGCCTTATGAAAATCTCCCACTGAATTCTCTCTCTTCTCAGACAGATTTTCAACTTGCCCTTCTTACTGGCTTTGTTCACTTGGCATATAACTGTGCTTGCCTCTCCTATAATAAAACACTGCTTTCAATCTTACATCTTCCTTTAATCATCATTTTATCACTACCTTACCTTTTCAGATAACTTATTTTAAAGATTTTATTTATTTCACAGATACAGATCACAAGTAGGCAGAGAGAGAGAGGAGGGAGCCTGATGTGGGGCTGGATCCCAGGACCCTGGAATCATGACCTGAGCCGAAGGCAGAGGCTTTAACCCACTGAGCCACCCAGGTGCCCCCAGATAACTCATTTGAAAAAGCAGGACTTTTCTATTCTTTTTTGCTCTTAGCCTACAGAAATCTGCCTTTTCTCATTATACCTCCAAAATAAACTTGCCTAATTTATCAACACCCTTGTAGGGCAACTTCCATAGCATTTTGTAATGCTGACCGTCTTCACCTTGAAAGTTTCTTCTCTGTCCATGAATGACTCTGATTTTCCTCTACCCTCTCTTTCTCGGTTTATGTCTTAGGCTGGCTTCCCTTAGAAGCAAACAGAAAAGGATCGAATGCAAGCAGTTTATTTGGGAGGTGGTCGCAGGAAACACTGGTGGAGAAGTGGGGAGTGAGACAGGGAAAGGAAGGCAACAGAGGGCTTGTTAATGAGAGGGTTATAGCCGTAGGCAACTGGGGCTCAATGCCACTGAAGGACCTCTGGGAGACTATGGAACAACCTTGAAGTTGTTCCGCCTGAGAAATAATGCCCTGGGATATTGAGCCTCTATCTGGGAGGAGAAACTCTTCCTTTATTCTTTTAGGTTCAGTTTCTGGAGTGCAAATTTAACAAACAGCAGATTAGTAGGAGAAAAAAAAACCCTCTAAATTCATCACATGCATCTGGAAATGAAGTGTCTCCCTAAGTGGTTAAAGAAAGGGGTTTACGTATTTATATTAATAGGGGAGAGGAAGGGGGAGAAAAGGCTTCTGTGGGAAAAGCAAATGGGTTTCTGGAGGAACAAACAAGATACGGAAGTTTGTGATAATGTTTATTTATGCAAGTGCCAGTGATCTCCATTTTATTTTTTTCTTCATGACCATAAAACTGCCCCAGAGAGAAGATCTATGGCAGCCTCACTTCCAGAACTTTCTGGTTTTCACTGAAATAAGGGAAGTTCCAAGAGAGCTTCTTCCTGCGTCTGCTGAATCTCAAATGTCTTTAGTTTAATCTTCATACCAACTCTGGGGGTCTGAGTGGGCCACCACACCACTAATTCCTGAACATCACTAGTCAAGGACTCTTCTGGAATGTAAATACCTTGGTAATTCCAGTCTCCCTTAATTGCTGGCAAGCTTGCTCCTTCAGTGGGGAGAAAGAACTTAGAGCAGAAAATCCAGGTGCAAATGCTGAGTGTCACAAGACTTAGGCACAGCATTATGAGCTACTTCTGGTTTTCTGGTTTTTCTCTTCCTCCCCTTTTTCAAGGTTCTGTTGTCTCACATTTGCTTTACGCACTCTCCATTTTGCTGGGTGTGCTCAGGAACTCTCACAGCTTCAATTACCTAATAATTTGATGTCATTCATCTCTATTCCCTTCATCTTTTGTCGGCTCTACATCTATATACATAACTGCCTACCGGGGATCTTACCTTGAATTGTCCAGTGCAGACCAGACACCATAAAAACAGGTTATGGTCCCTCAAATCCTCTTCTGTTATCTTGTCTTGCTTTTCTAGAAATCCATTCTTCTCATAGCTGTCATCGATCTTTCTAAAACACCTCTGCTAAGTATGGCCAGGCACTGGTTTGTAAATCTGGGGACAGAGCAATCAATGAACAAGACAAACCAGGTTCCTGCTTTTACTGCTTGAAGTCTACAAATATAGAAATAAAGAAAAAGAGAAACTGTCAGTGCTAAGTTCCATGGAGAGACTAGGGAACTACTCTCATTGGGAGGTCCAGAAAAGTCTTGCTGAAGAGAAGACATTTATGCTCAGAGATGAAAGACAGAAGGGAGACATCTAGAGCAGGGGGGAACATTCTGGGCAGAGGGATCCTTCCACTGCCATCTGAAATTCCTTCAATGGTTTCCCAACGTCTTCAACATAAGCTCAAATTTCTAAGCCTGGCAGAGAAGATCTTCTAGCACCTGGTCAGTCAGTGGCCTTCCTCTTTAGCTTCTTTCCATGACACCAACTCACGTCATCCTCACAACCACCGTGTAAGACAGCTGGTTGAGTCCTCCATCGGGTCTTACACGACTTCATACTCCGTCGCTGCATTAGCAGGGGCTCGAAAGCTGTCCACAAAATGAGCAAGGTGTTGGGCAGAAAGGACGGGCTGCTGAGTAAACAGGTCTAGGCTGGTGCGGTCCAACAGAAATAAAGTGAGCCCCACAGGTAGTTTAACATTTTCTCATACTATTAGATAAGTAAAAGCAACAGATTAAATTGTAAGGACATTTTATTTAAATATCATCAATTGAGCATATTTTTTGTTTAGAGATTGTATTTATTTGACGGAGAGAGAAAGAGCAGGAGCAGGGGGAGGGGCAGAGGGAGAGGGAGAAACTGCGAGTCCCCACCCAGCAGGGAGCCCGATGTGGGACGAGATCCCAGGATCCCCAGATCATCACCCCGGAGGAAGGCAGATGCTGAACCGACTGAGCCCTCCAGGCGCCCCAGTGGAGCATGACTAACGAAGTCACTCATGAGAGCGTTTGCATCCTAAATCTTCCAAATCCAGGCTGTGTAGCTCACACTTACATCGTCTCAGGTCCAACTGGTCAACCTTCCAAGGCCTCGACGCCACCTGCGGCTCGTAGCTGACTGAATCCTTCCCCCTCAACTCCCTCTGACGCCCCAGCCCGCCCCTTCCACCTCGTCACCTGTTTCATCTCCGCAGAACTTACGGGCACCCCGATTCTCTCCTTTGCTGGCGTGTCACGACTCCCCCACTGTCCACGTCTCTCCCGGCCAGGACCCCCCGCCCTTGACCCGGGGCCGGCACAGAGCAGGCGCTCGGCCAATACAGTCCCCCCACTCCCACGGCCGCGCCCGGGGTGTCCCCAGGTCCCCCTCCGCCGCCCGCCCCCGAGCGCCCCTCAGCCGCCGCGGCCGCCGCCGTCGCCGCGGCGCGCCCTCCCCCTCTCGGCCGGGTCGGGCCGGGGAGCTCCGGGTCGGAGTCGTGGACGTGACTGGGAGGAGTCTGCCCGCCTCAGGTTTCCGCGCTCGGCCGCGGCCATGGCGGAGCCCACCGTGTGCTCCTTCCTCACCAAGGTGCTGTGCGCCAACGGCGGCCGCATGTTCCTGCAGGACCTGCGCGGCAACGTGGAGCTGTCGGAGGCCCGGCTCCGGGACGTGCTGCGCCAGGCCGGGCCCGACCGCTTCCTGCTGCAGGAGGTGGAGATGAGGGAGGGCCTCTGGGACGCCGAGGCCGAGGTGGCGGCCGGCGCGGGCGGCGGCGGCGGCGGCGGCCCCAGCGCCTGGCGGGTGGTGGCCGTGTCCTCGGTGCGCCTCTGCGCCCGCTACCAGCGCGGCGAGTGCCAGGCCTGCGACCAGCTGCACCTCTGCCGCCGCCACATGCTGGGCAAGTGCCCGAACCGCGACTGCTGGTGAGGCGGGCGGTGGGGCGGGCGGCGGGGGCGGCGGCGCGGGGCGGTCACCGCGCGAGGGGCCGCGGGCCTGACGCGCCCGGTGGGAAGCGGGACCCCCGAGAAGTGAGAACAGGGCTGGTTGGGTCGGGGCTGCAACCCCGCACCCCTCTCCGCCCCCACCGAGGGCGGCAGGGAAGCCTCGCGAAGGGGCCGCGAGGGTCCTCCAGGCGAGGCCTCCCCGGAGCTTCCAGCTCCCCTAGCGAGCGAGGCCCAGAGCGAGGCCCAGAGCGAGGCCCAGAGCGAGGCCCAGAGCCGTCGCAGTCTGGATTTCTCCACTGCTGCTCGCCCTCGGATTTCAGTCCCTGCCCGCAGGGTCCTCCGCACCTCGGCGGGGAAATCAGGACCGTGGCTTTGGAGTTCATTTACTCCAGGGGTCCCACTGGGGGCTTCCTGCGGGCCCATGAGGTCCGTGGGCCCTTTATGGAGGGTGCCCTTTCTTTCCACGCGTAACCTCAAAGTTTTACCGCAGCGAGTCTGTGCGCTCCAGGTTTAGAAAGCCTGATCTAGAACCATCCCCCAGGAAACTGAGGGCTGGGTGGTTTGGGCGAGGTGTTACAAGGCCGCCTCCTGTCTCTCTAGGCGTCCTTGGTTTTACTCAAGCTCCCCAAAGCCGGGGTGTGGGCCCGCTTTCCTCCTAACGTCGGTGGACTGTGGGGGTGGCCAGTTGTTTGGGGTGGAGAAGGCAAGTGCACCCCCCTTCAGAACAACAGATGGCATCCTCTGCCAAGGCCGGTGCCTGGGGGGAGGGGGTACCTTTGGCTTTAAAGCATCCAGACTTAAAATGAAAATGACCTTGGGAGAAGAGATGCTTCAACTCAGCTGTCTTATTATCCATGCTTACTTATTAGGATATAGTATCTGTGGGGTCATGGAAACTTGTTTAACTTCCATGTGAGTTGAAAGCAACCGGAGGCAAGGAATTTGGGGGACCAGCCCCTTCTTCATCTGGGGCCCTGAGCCAGAGCTCTGTGTTCTCCTAGGTCTACCTGCACCCTTTCCCATGACATCCACACACCTGTCAACATCCAAGTACTGAAAAACCATGGGCTTTTTGGCCTCAATGAGGCCCAGCTTCGGATCCTGCTTTTACAGAATGACCCGTGCCTTTTACCAGAGGTGAGTTACTAAGAGTTCGCCCTCATGTTGTCTGCCGGATGGAGGAACTCACCAGAGAACATCAGAGGTCTGCTTACAGAGGGCAGCAGGTGTGTAGGTGGAGGTAATGGTGCAGGGCCGACCTCTGTGGGGTCATTTTACCAGTGATTTTACCAGGCTTTGATACGCAGGGAGTAATGGACACATGTGATAAAGAAATGATGGTAATAGCTATTGGGTTTTTTTTTTTTTTATTGTTTACTGAATGCTAAGCCATCCATATACCTCAGCTCATTAATAATGTGTCCCCATTTTACAGGTGAGGAAACTGAGGTTCAGATACATTAAATTGCCCCAGGTCACATAGTACATGGCAGATTTGAATTTAGGTCTGTCTGTGAAACTGGTGTTTTGCAAATTGCCTGTGTATGCTTTTGCCTATGTTGAGGCATTTGTCTTTTTCTATTTATAAGATGTCTTTAATGATACCAGTCCCTTTTGTGGTCACATTTGTTGTAAGTATGTCCCCCCATTTACTTTTTTGGGGCTTTAGGTATTAATTGTTTTGAAATGATTTGAAAGCTCCACATGCCTCACAAGTCCTATTAGAATTGCTATCCTGGTGAAATTAGCATGTTTGTATCTGTTTAGCTATACATGAAGAATTTTCTTTAAAGATTTATTTATTTATTTTAGAGCAGGGGGAGGGGCAAACGGAGAGGGAGAGAGCATCTCAAGCAGACTCTGCACTGAGCCTGAAGCCCAGTATGGAGCTCGCTTTCATGACCCTGAGATCAGGGCTTGAGCCAAAACCAAGAGTTGGATGCACAACTGACTGAGCCACCCAGGCGCCCCTACACGAAGAATTTTTAAAAACAAAATAGTAGGAATCCCAGAAGAAAATATTACAAGAGCCCACCAGCTGAAAGAATCTTCTGCTCTAGCACAGTGATGCTATCTCAGACACTCAAGTTGCCAGGAGAGCAGTGGGAAGAAGGGAGGCTGTTGGGAAAATCGAGGGTAGTTTGTGACTGTGGTCCCTGTTAATGCTAAGGTATTTCAGGCCCTGGAAGGGAAGGGAGTCACAAGGCTGGAGGAGTGAGCTGGAGCCTTAGGGTCAGAGGGCAGCAGGACAGCAGAATCCATAAAGAAAAGGCAGCACCAGAGTTAGCCTTAAGAGCTAAGAGTTTGTTCTTGATATCCATGTCTTTTCTCATTTCTTCGGACTTTGAAGCCAGGCTTGGTCAGTCATGGTTATCATAAACCGATACGTTCCAACCATCCTGCCAAAAGGACTCCAAGCAGCAGCCGGAGGAAGTTATTGGCAGGGAGGGAGAGGAGTCTGGTCTGGTCCTTCCTCTCTCAAAGAGAAGGGTCAGTGACACTTTTAGTAGTTACAACCTTTTAGTTTTTAAGATATTGTTTAACTTGCAGACGTTTAGCATCATTACGTTGTTTAACTTATTGGACGCTTTTCTTTATGGCTTCTCCCTACTGTCCCGGTTCAGCCTCATCTTGTCATGTCAGACTACTGCCGTGTTCTGTGAGCAGCCAGTGGGTTGGCTGCACTTACAGCAGGAGCCCACCCCTGGTCCTGTCACCCAGGACTGGAGATGTATGTCATGTGGCACACAGCGTGGCCGCTTAGGTAGCAGGGACCATGGACAAGCACAGTGAATGAGGCAGGAATGGTGTCTCACATCTCCGGTATGAAAATGCCCCATGACCCTTTCCCATCATTCTCCGAAAGATACAGTATGTAATACAGATATACCCTTAGTAAAAAGACGGTAGGGACAAACATTGTGATCTTGTGATTTATAATGAGAAATATAACATATTTGGTCTTCATTCCCTCCTGGCAAAGAATTCCTCAAACCCTTGGAATTTCCTAAACGATGAGGGCTATAATAGTGTCTTGTTGTTAAGTTAATGGTGAGTTTTTGGAAAGCCCCTAGGTAACCTAAGGATGGAAGCTGGTTGTCAGGAGAACCAATCTTGTGATTAGACAGTTGTAACTTTTATCCCTCTGCCCCCCCACTCTCCCATCTCCTGGGAGTGTAGAAGGGCTGGGGATTGAGTTCATTCACCAGTGGCCAGTGTGATTTAACCTATCATGCCTATGTTATGAAGCTTCCGTAAAAACCCGAAAGGACAGACTTTCAGAGAGCTTCTAGGTTGGTGAGCACATGGGGGTGCTGGGAGAGTGGGATCCCAGGAGAGGTCATGGCAGCTCCACACCTTTCTCCCCCATACCTTCCTCTGTGCATCTCTCCCATCTGCATGTTCCTGAGTTATATCCTTTTATAATAAACTGGTCATCTAGTAAGTAAACCATTTCTCTGAGTTCTGTGAACTGTTCTAGCACATTAATCTAACAGAGGAGTAGGTGGTGAGAACCTTTATAGCAGTTCAGCCAGTAAGCAGATGGCAGCCTCGACCCGCGATGGGCGTCTGAAATGGGGGCAGCCTGGTGGGGCCTGAGCTCTTAGCCTATGGGATCTGACTTTATCGCCAGGTAGACAATATTAAGATTGAATTAAAATTTATGGGACACCTGGTCATTGTTCACTGAGAATTACTTGGTGGTGTTGAAAGAAACACACATTGGAAATATGTACAATGTGATGTAGATACATTTGAAAACTTCAATGAAATGGATACATTTCTAGAAAAAATATAGCCCATCAAGACTGATTGAAGGTAGGCCTGGGTGGCTCATCGGTTAAGCGTCTGCCTTTGGCTCAGGTCATGATCTGGGGATTGAGCCTTGCATTAGGCTCCTTGCTCAGTGGGAAGCCTGCTTCTCCCTCTCCCTCTGCTTGCTGCTCCCCCTCTCCTGCTTGTGCTCTTTCTTTGTCAAATAAAAATCTTTTTTAAATCTTTAAAAAAACCCAAACTGATTCAAGAAAAAGTAGAAAGCCAGAATGGTCTTTATTTTTGAACAACAGAAGCATTAAGATGAAAATTTCAAAACACCCTGAAACTAGAGTATTAGTTAAAAAGTCTTATACAAGAAAACATTAGGCTCATAAAGTTTTATTGTTGAACTCTATCAAATCTTTAAGGAAAGGATTATTTTGATTTGGGGACTAGGTCTAGGGTTCTCCTCTTCTTGATCTCCTATGCATTCTGAAATCAGTATCATACTGTTTAAGTAGTTTGTATTTTAATATATGATGGTACAAGACTCTATGCCCATTACCCTTTTTTTCAGAATTATTTCTTGGGGTGCCTGGTTGGCTCAGTGGGTGGAGCATGCAACTCAGTCTCAGGGTTGTGAGTTTGAGTCCCATGCTGGGTGTAAAGATTACTTAAAAATTAAAAAAAATTTTTTTTTTTCTTCAATCAATTGCCTTAAGAAATGTAGTGAAAACAAATGTGTTAAGTGTTGCTTCATTTCTGGACCAGGTCTGTTTATTGTACAACAAAGGTGAAGCACTTTATGGCTACTGCAACCTCAAGGATAAATGCAACAAGTTTCACGTGTGCAAATCCTTTGTCAGAGGGGAGTGCAGACTTCAGAAATGCAAACGGTCCCATCAGCTCATTCATGCCACAGCCCTGCAGCTGCTGCAGGACCAAGGACTGAATATTCCAAGCGTTGTGAATTTTCAGATCATCTCTACCTACAAGCACATGAAGCTGCACAAGATGCTTGAAAGTCAAGGTGAGACCATCAGAGGGAGACAGAGCACTAGCACATGTTGTTTTGACCTGGAAGTCAGTGTAGGGGGTGGGAGCTCATGCTCTGTCCTTGGGGAAACAGAACCACCAACATTTTAGAATAGAAAACTTGGTTCTAACCAAAGGAGGGAAGGGATGGAGTTTATTTTCAGCGCTGACAACCAATAGCACCTGCCCAAGGGTTTGAACAGTGTTGCTCCTTGCTAAGCTGGGGGCCAGGAAGTAGCTACAATAGTCCTCACAGCTTTGTTAGGAAGAAAGAGGAGGGAGGTGGGCCAGTGGACAAGAAAGGGAAGGAAGACATAGGAATAGCTTTCTTTTATTAAATTTGAATTAAAGCGTTTTCTTCTTCTTTCTTTGTTTTTCTTGAGATAATTAACATATAACATTTTGTAAGTTTCAGATGTACAGCATGGTTCGATATTTGTATACATGGCAAAGTGATCTCAGTAAGTTGAGCTAACATCTGTCACCGTCCATAGTTACACAATTTTTCTTGTAATGAGAACTTCTAAGAAAGTATTTTCTTTGGGGGCACCTGGGTGGTGCAGTTGGCTGAGCGTCTGGTTTTGGCTAGGTGGTGTCTCAGGGTCATGTGGTCCAGCTCCGTGTTCAGGCTCCACATGCAGTGCAGAGTCCACTTGGGATTCTCTCTCCCTCTGTCCCTGCTGCTCACGCTCACTCTCTTGCTGAAATAAATAAATAAATCTTAAAAAAAAAAAGTATTTTCTTTTTCAGTTGTTAAGAAATTTTAACCATATGACAGAAAAATTTGGAAAATAGAGAGTAGAGATGTAAGTTGCCTATGATTCTACTCTCTCTATCCATAATCATTAGTACCATTTAACGTCAGGCCCTTCCCTCCTGTTACTCTACAAATACTGGTCCATTTGTGGTCGTAGTATGCATTAGTATCTAAATTTTCACTTTACACAACATCATAAACATCTTCCCATATTGCTACATAGTCTCTCATTTTTTAAGGTCTGCCGACTGTGGTCTGGTGTACTTTTAATTACAGTGCATTCAGGTTGCTTAACTTACTAGATTTGCTTATAGCTCAAAATCTGTTTCAGTGGGAGGTAGGCTTAGGGGAATTGTTGATGGGAAAACCACATCAGGAAAGCCAATATCTCTAAGCTTTTGATATGTTTTATTTTACTTTTTCTTTTTTTTTTTAAGATTTTATTTATTTATTTGACAGATTGAGAGAGAGAGGGAGCAAAAGCAGGGGGAGCTGCAGGCAGAGAAAGAAGGAGAAGCAGACTCCCCGCTGAGCAGGGAGCCTGATGCGGGGCTCCATCCTAGGACCCTGGGATCATGACCTGAGCTGAAGGCAGATGCTTAACTGACTGAGCCACCCAGGCGCCCCTCAATATGGAATTTTCTTATGTTGGGATGGTAGTGACTGACTTCCTGCACAGGTGGTCTGGAGGGAGTATAGGAGGCTGTCTAGGGGACCCCAAATGGTGGCAGGAATTGTCTATACTGTCACAGGGCCTGTCATTACCTTCCTCTGGTCTTCTTTAGTGGGTCTCTCATAACTGAAGTCACTTTTAGCTGAAGTCACTGAAATAGTGACTTTCTGCTCTGTGTGTGTGTGTGTGTGTGTGTGTGTGTGTGTGTAAAATAAATCCAGAAGACACAAAACTCTCTAAATTCAGTGTTGGGACTTTTGTCTGAGATCTGATTAGCAGGGCTGATGCTGCTGACATAAAATGAAATTGAGAGCCATAAAAGGGGTGTCTCAGGAAAGCTCATCTCTCTCCTCTTCTTTTTAGGTAATGCCGCTTCTCCTGCTGAGTATTCCCAGGGCCTCGAGAAGCCAGGCGGACATATGGCTGGCGCTGCAGAGGCCGGTCCTGTGGCTCCTGTCCCTGCTCCGTCAGCCAAGAAGCCACACGCAGGGAAACCGGAAAGGATGTCCGTGAAATAAGATGCTTCCAGTCAGAAGGTCTGAAAACAAAGCTTCTGTTGAGCTTTATTTCTAAGTTCCTTCGTGTAATCACTTATCAATAACGGTCATAGTAATACCTACCTCACGTGTTGCTGTAAAGATTAAAGATGACAGAGAAGGGGAGAGCATCAGGTTGCGTGGATGACATTGGGGATGGGTGGTTGGGATGTGGTGGGACGTGGAGCAGGCAGAGAGGGGAGAACGTGAGTACGGTTGGGGTCAGTCCAGGGCTAACTCTGAAGATGCCAGATTCTGCCTGTAGTCCCTGACAGGTCCCCTAGGCTGGCGGGAGCTCCAAGAGGAGCGGGTTTTGGCTGCCTTGCTCCATGACCCAGCCAGTGTTTTTCTGCACCCACGTACACGGTTTACATAGTGGTTGTCAGAGACCATATACGGACACTTAGTCCTCTTGTTCTTTCTTAACGTTTCATAAGCCTCTTTCCCTATTCACATTTTATCATATATAATCATTTTTATGCACAGATACACTAACGTATAGTCGTTTACTTAACGACTTCCCTTATTCTGGATGTTTCCGTTCTTTCTAACAAATTTTGAATGGAACTCTTTTCCTCAAATCCTCGCAATATTGAATTTTTAAATGTATTCTTTTGCTTAGCTTGTTGGTGCTAAATGATACTGCCTTTTGATTTGCATTTCTTTAAGTATATGCAAGGGAATATTTTTCCAGTGTGTGTGCTTTCTGTGTGTGTGTGTGTGTGTGTGTGTGTGTGTGTGTGTGTGTGTGTGCATTTTGTGCCTGCCCTCCTGGGGCTGATGTGGGATGGCGTTTAATTAGGTTCCTTAATTTTCATGAAAGGATATCAGTCGTACCGTGCTCACATGATACCCAGCTCTCCTGGGTCCATCCCTCAGCCGTACCACAAAGTGTATAACTGTCGAGTGCTCACCAAAGATTTCTACCTCACTGTGTCTACTCTGCATTTCTTATTAAAATTTTCGCCAACACCCCCATTATGATAGGGTCGTTCATCCATTTCTCAAAGTTGTATCCATTCTTTCTGCGTATCTGGAGGGACTATCAGAAACCTATAGACCTTGTCTATTTCATGTTGACTTTCCTTCCTTCTCTCTGTCCCCACCACCTGACTCTCTTCATCCAGCTACACTTAGATGTTTGGTTCTTTGTTTTCATCCAAGGGTACCGCAGAGAAGCTGCGTTATGACATCTTTTTCTGTGTTTGCTTTTGTGATATTCTCAAATGTTGATGTGTAAAGTATTTTTTTTTTAAATTTTGACTTTCCTGCAATAACACAATATCTGAGAAATAGGGACAAGGGAGTGAGTTTTGCATAAAGCTGAATTAATTTAGCGTAGAACCATATTTTATCACGAAATGCTGTCTACTCTGCTGGGGGGAGGTCGGCCAAAATATCCTTTGCAAAGTGAGAAATTGCTGTGTTTTCTCCTACGGACAGTAAGATCATGCTGCTTCTGTGAACCTTTTCACCTTTGCTATCCACAACAGTATTTCTGAAAGCCCTTAGGTTCTGCATACTTTGTTTCCTTTTTCCTAGTTCTGATTTCTCCTGGTGCTAATTTTTTTTTTTTAATTATTTTTATGGGGCATCTGGGTGGCTCAGTGGGTTAAAAAGCCTCTGCCTTCGGCTCAGGTCATGGTCCCAGGGTCCTGGGATCGAGCCCCGCATCAGGCTGTCTGCTCAGCAGGGAGCCTACTTCCTCCTCTCTCTCTACCTGCCTCTCTGCCTACTTGTGGCCTGACAAATAAATAAATAAAATCTTTAAAAAAATTATTTTTATATTTTATTGTTATTCACATTTTATTCTTTTACCATGTGTATTTTTGCTGTAAGCCATGTTTAGTTCTTAATGGGAACAGATAGGGTACACATGTGTATCCCGGACGTTAGGAGACTTGGTGGACTTTTACAGGCTTGTGTTTTTGTCGTGTATCTTATTACTATGCTTTTATATGCGTGAAAACGACCCTCTGTAATCTTTGTTGCAATGTCTTCAGTTCTCTAATAGTCCATTTAAAACTTAGTTCTTTTAGTATCCATTCTGTAAAGATATTTCATATAACCCTACTTGACCCTCTTTCATCTCATGATTCAGCTGTTAGAATGGTTTCACATTGGAATTGGGGGGGTGGTTTTCTTTGGTCATTTATCAAGGCTTTGGAGGTGAAGCTGCACATCTGTGGGCTCCGCAGATCCAACATACCCTAAGGGAAATGATGACCTTTCCTACAGTCTTGTTCGTCCTTTGGTTGCTTTATTTTGGAGTTGTCACCACCTACAGACTTAAGCCAAAACCCTGCCAATTGCCCTGTCCTCTTCTTTCTCCTGGTTCCTGGGGTCAAACCCATTACCCAGTGTTGGAGATTAGTTTCCCTTCAAAAAATCTCAAATTTGTATCCTCCTCTGCCTCTTTCTCTCCCTCCTGGACACACCGCCTTCTTTCTAACCCTCTTCGCCTCTTGCATCTGTTGCACAGATGGACGATTCACTGGTTTTCCAGTCGTGTCTCGTGAGAGTATTTTTATAGGAGGTGCTAGGTGGCCCCCTGCTCTCCTTCTGTGATGGCAGTCCCGTTTTAAATTTTTCGTAAAATGGGCTTTTTATGGATTTCATTGATCTCTTGCCACCCTTCTACCTCCCTGCCTTCCATCCTGTGCCTGGTGGATCTTTCGAAATGCAGACCTAATCACATTGCTTTGTTCTGCCATAACCTTCATGGGTCCCCATAAGGCGAGTAGGAGTCATAAACTCAGACGCCTTCTTGGATGAGAAGGGGGAGCTGAAGAGGACGATGTGAGCCGGATGTAGAAGAAATGGGGGAAAAGAGCAAGTGTCATAACAATTTGTCCCATCTGAGTGGGGCCCCTGCCTCTTGTGCCCTTGTGGGGATGTGGGCCCATTTTTGTCATGTTTCCCAATTAGTCTAAAGAAGCCAGATCCAGACTTTATTATACATTTTCAGATTTTTAAATACTGGCTTTTGACTGACTTTTAAAAATGCAGACCAATATTGTGTGTGCTGACCTATTTGCAGTTTTTGGAATGTGCCATTTTATTATATGACTCTCTGTGCTTGTAAATGATGTTCCCATTAAGTGCCACTCCTTCGCTCTTCCTGCCTCAAACCCTGGCAAAATCCGATTCTTTGAAAATGCTAGGTTAGTCTTTTCTGACCCCAGGAAGGGTGGTTCTCTTAGTGTTCTCAGCGTTCTAGCACAACACTTACTCTGTCGTGCTTTCTGCTTCTATTCCCTAGCTTTGAGCAAAAACAAAACCATTATTTCTTCTTTTTGGACAAGTCTCCAAAAAGAATTTTTTTGGCATATAACGAATCAAACTTTGTGAATCCATAGAATCAGTATCATATTGGTCTTCATGGTTCTTTCTTCTCCCCACATTAATATTTTCCATTTTCAAAAAGTCTTTTTCCCCTAAGGAATGTGTTATTTAAAGTAAACATCTTTTTGGTACTTCAGTTTGAATCATCTAGGTCTAAAATTAACTGTTTAAGACTTATGCTTATGATACTAATCTTTCCATCAAGGAATTAAGTCTCTTCATTGCTGATGGGTTCCTTGATTTCTTTCATTATAATTTGTTCTTATTTTTGTCTAGCCTTCTATATCCCTCATTATATTGATTTTTTTCTTGGCTACATACATCTGTATTGCTACTCCATATGGGAATCTCTGTCTTTAGAATTCTATTGATTTTTAAAATATTTGTCTTTTGTTGAATTATCTTTGTCCTAACAGTGTTAGATGGCCTTTATGTTTCTTCTAAATATAAAATCATAGCTGCAAAAAGATTTGGCTTTTCTCATGTATTTCTATTTTGTCTTGTGTTAAATAAAATTGTGGTGAAAAGATATTTTTTGATACTTCTTCATTAAATATGAAGTTAATTGTTCATTTTAAACAAATGTTCTCTACTTAATAAGAGAAATTACATTTATTGTTTGTTAGAAGCTTTTAGTAACGATGGTATCTTTTGCATAATCATGTAATTTTTATCACTTAAATCACCTAATGTGATTATATTACTGGTTTTACTATATTAAAACATTTTAAATTCTGAGTAACTCTACTTGACTATGGCATATACTCTTTCAATGTATTGCTTTTCCCTTTGGTAATTTTTATTACAATTATATGCATCATACATTCATAAATAAAATTCATTTATATTTCATATGTGTATGTAGTAATTTCCTTTTTATTTGTATTGCTGTATGCTCAAAGTATACATTTTATTCTAAATCCTATTCTGAGTTTTACAAATTGATTATAGTGTCATTATTATTTTACATTTTTTCCCCCAGCTTTATGGAGGTATTATTTGACATATAATATTGTATAAGTTTAAGGTCGATAAGGTGATGATTTGATACATGTATATCATGTGAAATGATTCCCACAGTAAGTTTAGTTAACACGTCCATCACCTTATATTCATTTTTATTTTTAAAGTAATGTATTGGGCACCTGGGTGGCTCAGTGGGTTAAAGCCTCTGCCTTCTGCTCAGGTCATGATCTCAGGGTCCTGGGATCGAGCCCCGCATCGGGCTCTCTGCTCAGCAGGAAGCCTGCTTCCCTGTCTCTCTCTGCCTGCCTCTCTGCCTACTTGTGATCTTTCTCTCTGTCAAATAAATAAATAAAATCTTAAAAAAAATAAATAAAGTAACGTATTACTTGGAGCACCTGGGTGGCTCAGTCAGTTAAGCCTCTGCCTTCAGCACAGGTCATGATCCCAGGGTCCTGGGATCAAGCCCCACATTGGGGGGGTGGTCCTTGCTCAGCGGGGAGCCTGCTTCTCCCTTTCCCTCTGCCCCTTCCCCTGCTTGTGCACTCTTTCTCTCTCAAACAAATAAAATCTTTAAAAAAATTTATTAGTATATCCTTGAATTTCTTTATTCTTATTTAGGAATATTTTTTTCCAAAAGATTTTTTTTTTGGGGGAAAATAAAATAACATATCATTGTGGAAATTTGGGAGAATACAGGAATGTATTCAGAAAGTAGTAATAATTCCCTATAATACCATTGTGTAGTATTGTTCTGAGTTCTTTAGGCACACTACCTTGTTTAGTCATCAGAACAGAGGTGAGATAAATCAGTACTGCCTTGACCTACGCAAGAGGGGACCCTGACTTGAGCCTTTGCTTTAAAAGGTTTTCTCTGCTCGTGATTTACACCAGTCAGACCTCAGGGAAATGCTTCTCCGCCTCTCTTATCCTATATCCTCAGGGCGTAAAACGTGATTGCTTATGAACCCTGTGCAGGTCTGTGGTTTGAAATACTGTCATTGCTGGAAACAGGTACAGTTTTGGACTTCATGGAGGGTTTCTGTGGTGGAAACAAGTGGGTAAGCAAAAACAAATTAACTTGTCAAGGCCTAACTTTTGGAGAGTGTGGACACAATAGATTCTTACAAAATGAAATATCTTTCCCAGTGGTTTCCAGTGTGCATTTTCCCTCCTCTTTGTCTCCTAATCAGTAGCTCTGGGGGTACCCACAAATTGTATAGTATTTGCTGCAAGTACACACAGGAGTGGGGGAATGTTTTTGTACCATTAAACAATTGATATTATTCTTCAATATTTATACAGAAGCAGTTTTCCATGTACCATGTGAGAGACAGGATTCAATTCCTTCCATTAGCAAGAACGTGCACGTCGAATGT